TAAAATTAATATCCGACCACCACCACCACCACCAAACACTTTGTTGGTGGTATAGATTAAGAATGATAATGTTATAGAGTGAAATGAATGTAGATATTTAGAAAAACCAATAGCTTTATAATACCAAAATGGTACATGGGAGAAAAGGAAACCAACCCCTGCTCTCAACTTAATTTCTTTACATCATCAGCAGAGATGCCTAGATGTAATAAGGAGTCGTAAGAAGCAAGCAGCAATACATTATTAGCCTGGGAAGAGAAATTCTTCAGATCAGCCCCAAACCTTGTTGTTGTTGTTGTTCTTTTTTAAATAGAGTATTATCCTAGTTATTTTAAGTGAAGTAGGAAGTCAGAGTAGGAAGGAGTTGGAAATTGAGTCAGAGAACCTGGGTTTGAATCTCAGCTCTGCCACTTTCTATGTGACCATAGACAAGTCATTTCCCATCTCTGTTCTTCGATTTTCCCAGCTACTAAATGAAAGGATTGAATGAGATAATTTCTAAGGCTCCTTCCAATTCTAAATCTATTACCCCATGAAAACCTATATTTTCTCTGCCATTTTTAGAGTTCCCATATCTGATTTTAACTCCTGGGAGCCTATAACAGACTTTTTTATTGCTCTTAGATGTGTGTTTTATGCACATTTGTAGTTGCATGGACTAACTCTAGAAATCTTGGGAAGATAGGCAGTGCGGTATGTAATATTATCAAAGTAATGAAAGCACTTCAGATAAAACAAATCCCCACCTGATAAGACAGAGGCCAGTGACTGGGATTGGAGCTGGGGAGATGGTTATCAAAGAATGAGAAGGCAATGGGGCATAGACTTAACTCCTGTATAACACCCAAAGCTTTTTTGAGCCTCAGGGAACCTGGATTCAAAGCATGTTAGATACACATGAGAAAACCTATGCTATAAAATGAATTTGGCTGTTCTGATCAGTACTAAAATACCTTCATATCCACTTCTGGTAGTAACTTGTTGAAGCCTATTTTAATACTCAAACAAACCTTAGGAAATTTGTATAAGTAGTAATAAAATGTGACTAAAATAGGTGGAAATAGGTTTTCCATTTTTCTCCCTAGTTCATAGTTTTATCAAAATTTATTATCTGCTGAGAATCTATATTGTCTATTAACTCTATTTGTGGAAGTAAGTGCTTGCCGAAATTGCAGCCAGCCATGTGAGTAAATATGTATTGTTACAAAAGACATAGCTATTCTATTTGATTTTTTAGATAAGGTACTTTGCATTATAATTATAATTCAGAATTATGTATTACTTTACAGATTGCAAAGCACTTACACCATCCCTGTGAGCTAGGTTGTACCCATATTATGACCCCCATTTTATAAATTTATCCTGATTACTCAATATTATTATCCTTACTCACATATTACAGGAAAGGGAAACTCTAAAAATTGTGAATTGATTAATACCACATATACGAATCTGAGAGGCAAGATATCCAAGCTCTATATTCTAGCCACTACATCATAGTGCTATGAAATAAGAAATGAATAAGGAGTAGTGCAGGTCCATAGTGGGCAACGTTCTACTGGTTTATGCCAAGGAAGATGATGCTCCTTTGGTCCTCAAAAACGAGAATATTGTATGAACTAAATTATTCTTCTTTTAGGTCACTTTTTCCAGTGATCTCTATATATACCAACTACAATGGTTTCTATAATTCAATGCATTGTAAAGAGCTATTGGAGAAGGCAGCTGCATCAGAACATAAGTTTTCATAGGCTGCATAGAGCTTGGCTTAGGTGTGCCAGCATACCTTGGGAAGAACATTACCACTAACCTTTTCACTGTAGGATGCCAACTATGAAAGAGTAATTCCTCCCTGAGTGGGGCAGTCCTAAAGTAGAATAGTTAAGTAAGCATTACTTTTGTAACATTGGCACTTACTTCACTTCCTCATTCAGTATTTCTCTGTCCCATGTTGGCATCCTCTTCCTACTAGGTGAACATGAATAAATGAATGAATGAAAAAAAATATTAAGTGCTTGCTATGTGGAAAGAACATGATATCTAGAGATAACAATATAGGAACAAAATGGCTCCTGCTCTAAATAAGATCACATTCTAAAGGAGATGACATATATAGCTTTCAGCTATAATTCAGATGAAAAAGACCCATGGTCCTTAGGGTGCTACAGTGAAGCAGATGGTAATGTCTCTTCATTAATGTCATATCTACTGATAGTTCTGTGTTTCTGATTTTAAACCACTTGACAGTGTAGAGGATTTACGTGGCCAAAACATTATTTTCCTGGTTGTCAGTAGCTGTGGCTCCCAAGGAGGCAGAGGCTTTAGCACCTGCAAGAGCAGTGACCCAAGCACACTTCCCAGGGGAGGGGGGCCCTTTTTCTATCGTAATTGATCCCCTTCATCATGGCTACAGAGCCTGATCTGGAAGCTGAGCTGAATGTTCTTGAGAACACTTCTATTTTTTTCATGTTGCTACTCATAAGTAACTAGGTGGTATACTGCCTAGAGCACTGAACTTGGAATCATGAATCCTGAGTTTGAATTTTACCTCAGACATTTACTAGCTGTGTATAATTAGACAGGTCATTTAAACTCTTTCAGACTCAATTTCCTCATATGTGAAATCAAAATAATAATAGCACCTGCCTTATGGGTTGTTGTGAGGATAAAACAAGATAATATGTAAAGAGCTTCACAAACCTTACTATTATTATATATTATTTATATAACCTTATTGTTACATAAGCCTTAGTTTAGTTTTAAGCTATTAAAGCTCAAAATAACCCTAAGACTTTTGAGATACCATGAATAAATGTCAGCCATTATTCCTTCTCAACTATTTTTATTATATTATCTGTCTTACCTACTCTGACCCCATTGGTAGCACCTATACAACCACCCTCCTCATTATCAAATATACCCATGTATTACCCATTCCTCAAATCCTACCTCTCAGATAGTTGTCACATAAACAATCTGGTCAGCTCATTCAAATTAAGGTGATAAAGATGGACAATGGCTTCTGCTTCCTCTTCAGTAGTATTTACATGGGATACTTAGAGTTATGATGCTATTATCTCTGATTATCCAAGAATTTATGAAATATAATCTATTGTCTAGTAAGAATTGGTTCATCTTTATGGAAAGCTGTTTTTTTAATCCTGATTTGCCATAAAATGATCATATTTAACAAATATAAGCTGTTTTAAATTTAAATTTCAAACAAATAGGCTAATTGTCACATCTTAATTATAGGTTACCAATGGCTATTGATAACTGGAAATGCATTTATGTTACAAAAATAAGGCTCATAATTGTCTTGCATCTTATTCAGGGAACCAAGTTCAGTCACAATTTTTACCTAGTAATACCATTGATC